GAAACATCATTTGTGACATTCATAACTTAAATGGAGAAACCAAAAAATTAGGAAGTTTATATTATCATGTAAAATTAGTTGATGTAAATTAGATATTTGTTGAAAATATATTTGCACATTTTTTTCTAACATATCCGATCAATCCAACCCAAACCAACTCGTTACTTTTTGGTTTGGTTCAATTTAGACTTTATCATAAAATTGTGAAAATCCAATCCAAACTAATCCATATACTTTTGATCGGTTTGAGCATCCGATTCTCTCAAAACCGAACCAAACCAGCTCGCGAACACCCCTAATTATCTCACTCAAAAGCCACACATTGAGTTGTCACACTTTATTAAATGTATGTGTTATATTATATTAAATTTTTCTATATTAAATATTATATATTAATATAATCAAATAATATTTAATTATTTCATGTTTCACTTTACAATCTTTTCATATTCTATTAATTTATCATTTTGAACAATTTCAAATTTATATTGTATTTAAAAATATGCTAGATTGTTTAAAAAAAGTAATATAATACTTTAAAAATGTATTATATTTAAAATAATTTTACAAAATAATAATTAAAGGTCCGTTTATGATCAGATTGTCCACAACCTATTTAAGATCAGGCTCGAGTAATATATGAACTCATATTATAAGGGACTTGCTTTTCCCACCATAAACATTGCTCCCCAAACCTAGTGAAAACCTAAAATTGCCCTCAGAATCTGGAAATGCATCTCTAGACGCACCTCATTCACATATAACTCATTCGTTTATGAGTTATACCCCAAGGTTATGTAAAAAAGAAAAATAGAAATATGCATCTCCGTATACCTTATGGAGATGCATCTGGACACATTTTTAATCTAAATCGTGCTAGACCCTTCTCCTTCATCATTTCTATTTTACTCGCTTAACTCACAAACTCTGAATCTCTCTCAACTCACGTCCAAGTTTCTACAATCAACATCCAATCGATTAAAGAGCTCACAATCAACCTCACATTTGGTAAGTTTTTTATTTCTCTACACATTTTTAATTTCTCTATACCTTTGTAGAAATTGAGCATTAGATTATGCAATAGATAATTTAGACATGTTATTTACCTGAGCAATGTGTTTGATGGGTAGTTTGAATGATCAATGCATTTTTCAGATGTTGAATTCAAATAAATTTCTTCCATTTTCATTCTTCTCTGAGTTGCAGAACAATACAGAAATGCACTTCCGAATTTTTTCAATGTTATAATTTTCCAGAATCCGGAAATACATTTTTGTATTTAGTCTGTCTGCATTGTTTGGATTTATTTTTATTGTGTTTCATCTATATAATGCTTGTGTGGTTTAGTTATAATCATTATGGATGATAAACAAGCTATATTGAGGCATGACAGAGTTGTGTAGCATGCATCAATTTTTAAGGGAAAGAGCCTGAGTCTTGCAGACACTGGTCAGTTCTAGTTCGGTTGATATGAAAATGTCAACTTATCTAGGGCTCATGCATCCCTACCTTCATCTTCCTATAGGAGGCATGTGTCACTTCCTAATGCCCAAGAATCCCCACCAGTACATTTTGAGGCACCCTAAGGGTTTGGAGGAGACCCGGTGACTTATCGCTATTGCCTTTATATTCGGACCATGCTTCCATCCATGCATGGGATAGAGGGGAAAAATTCAATTGTATTCATTCTTTGAAGCATATTTGTTATAATATTCCGAATTACTATTGATGATTTATTTTTCTACGGGACCGTGATGCTTTATAATGCATCAGGCATGGTCAAAAGATTGTGGATCTGCCACAACCTCATGATCAGTGGTTTCAAGATGTGCTACAACTATCTGAGCTACGAGACCTATGTAAGACGAAGTATATTACGATTAACCATGGTATGCTATCCGCGTTTGTTGAGAGATGTCGTTCGAAGATGTCATTTATTAATCTTCCACATGGTGAGATGTCTATCACACTGGACGATGTCTCATGCCTGCTATATCTTTCAATCAGGGGAAGAATATTAGACCATGACATGATTATCAGAGATGATGGTGACATATCTAAGAGCTAACCCATAGCTTATTCTGAAGAAGATAGAAGACACTCGAGGGTGTCATGCTAGGTTTCAATTCTTACAGAGGGTTTATGCACATTAGTTTATAGCGACAGAGCCCACCACTGGTGATGATGAACATATTATGCAAGATAGAGCATACACATTGAGAGCATACATGTTGTACTTGGTTGACACATCCATTTTTATGAACAAGAGTGTCACTTATGTGGATCTAGTTTATCTGAGATACTTTGCTAACTTTGAGCGAACTCATGAGTACAACTGAGGGGCTGCTTGTTTGGTCTACCTGTACTTCAAGTTAGATGAAGGTTGTATATGGAAGACCAAATAAATTATAGCTTGATGCACGTTGTTGATGGTAATATATTTGCATCCTTTATTGTTTGTGTATCATTTTTATAACACTTGTGTTACATCATTACTAATAATTTATATATACCATTTTAGGCTTGGATCTTCCAACACTTCTCATGCATATCAGGCTGGTCATATGTTTCGACATACACTGAGGATATGCCACATGCTTGTGCATTCATGCCGCTTATAGAGAATCAAGAAACAGAGCCATTTAGAGTGTATCTTAATCGCATGGTTGCAGATGATATACACTTCCAGACAGGGACGAATCCAAATGTTAGATATTGGTGTGGCTAAATATAAAAAACTTTGAATTAAATTATATTAAAAATAAAAAATAATATTGTTTAAAGAAATATTTATAATAAAAATTATCTATCAAGTATGTGGGATTAGCAAATATAAAAGTGTGAGCGAGAATCTTGAGAGGCGAAGACAGTGTTTCAAAGATTGGACTGAACTGGTCAATCAAACTGGAAATTGGAAGGGTCATCAGTCAAATTTGATTGTAGGATCGGATAAGCTATTAAATCAGTGAGAGTCGGCCAGAATCGAACAAAATTGATAAAAATCGATGAACCGACGAATTTAAAAAATCGACGGGTTAAATGTTTTTTCTCAAACAAAACAACATCATTTTGATAATTTTCTTTAAAAAAATTAAAATATAAGTAGATTTTGTTCAAAATTTAATTGGAACAATTTTCCTTCTTTAGAATTAAATTTATCAAACGTAGTACTTATTTGTTATTTAATTTATGTTGCGATTAGACTTCATTAAAAATTTATTTTGATATGTATTTTATACTATTTTGTTGTGTGTAATGATTATGTTTAAATTTTGAATTTAAAAAATGCATTTGTAAAATTATAATATTTTAAAATTTGATAGATGTCGTGATTTTTATAGAGATTGAGTCATCTGGTTCGATTGATTTAATAACTATATAATTTTAAGAGAGACGGGTTTATTCAATTTAGTTATCAGTTTTTTTCAATTGAATTATTCAATTTAATCCAATTTAGTAACGTGGTTCAAACAATGACCCAATAATTTGACTAATAAATCAGTGACACCCTCATATGTTGCATGTCGTGGTATTCCAGGGTGTCACATCTTTATATGACACCAGATGCTTCGATCGATCCACCTAAGCTAGCTCATCAAGAGATATTAGAAGAGAAACAAGCTAGGGCAAATCATGTTATTGATGTGATGCCTAAATGTTGATGTATCATTGAGTTTGCGCATACAGGTATAGATAGATGAGTGTTTCCGAAATGATCTAATGTGAGGGACATTATAGATGTCATCCTTACTGAGACACGGTCGACACTACAGTACATGAGACAACATAGGAATATGGGATCTGACATACGCAATAGTGTAGTATTTGTATGGCCATTATGAATGTTGTTATCATATGTTACTTTGTTATTTTGGTTGTATTATGGATTGATTTATTCATATATGACATTTTTTATCTTTATTATGATAGTATATTTATAACACAAAAGTATTTCATTAGTGGATTTCATTAAAAAAAGGCAATTTATTGTCTAGGGTGAATACAGAAGTACATCTCCTTATTCTGTGTAAGGTGAATACGAAGATACATATGTAAAGTAATTTATCTCAAATGAGTGTGACTCAATTAAAAATATATAATATACGTATAGGGTAAATCCGAAAATACATCTCTATACTAAATTTTGAAGAAAAAAATAGAGCGAACCTCAATTAAAAAATATTTTAATATAAAAAAAAAATTCGAAAATACACTTCTGAATTCTCAAAAACATTTTAAATTTTTTTTAAGATGCTTCTCTACCCCTTTTAAGAGGATGTGAGAAACAATCCCCTACTATAAAAGATTTTGATCTTAATAAAAAAAATTAACATCCACTAGGGCTGGTCGTTTAAAACCGACAATTACCTAAAGCCTCCTAAATCATTCAATCCAACCATCTAGATTGATTGACAGCAACATGTACATTGTTATTTCAACGTGAGAACACACACACAAAAAAATAAAAAAGACAGAAAGAAAGAAAGAAAAGTATTTGCTAGTGCAGGGGAAGTTGTTAAATTGGTTTCCTTGTTGTGCACGCCTAATAAATAATAAATAATTATTTTCTCCGGTTCAATATATACAAGTAATCAATCAATAAAAAAATTCAATAACTTCAAATATAAAAAAATTCTCCTATAATTATTAATATTTATTATCACTATTCTAAATTCATCTTTAAATTAATTAATAATTAATTTTCCAACTTTATTATTTTTTTTAAATCTCACCATTTTCAAAACAATTGGAAAGAGTGTTTTTTCTAACTCATAATTTAAATGCCCTTAATTCATGTTTTAAAAGGTGTTTTTTTTTTCTTGTTTAAATTGAAGACAAACATTTGTTTGACTTGTTTCGGAGTATCTTAAACGTCCTTGTGACTCTGTTTTTCTACATATTCTCCCAACACCAAATTTCATTCCATCTTTCTCTACTCTTTCTTCACTTAATCCTCTTGCTCTTCATTTTTCTATTCACACCCCCTTCCTAGACTCCAAATGAAGGTGAGAGTTTCTTCCTCCAAATTACATGTCACTTTCCTATTCAATTTCCTTCTTGATTCTTTCCTATTCAACCTATTCAAAATAAGCAAGAAAATTCAAGTTTTTAATGTTTCTCATACTAGTAGATTAAGATATTTATATCACACCAACTTCAGCATTTTTTTTTTACTTGTTTCATTAATAAAACTATGATAGTTGGTGCATAACCTTCTAAACAAGGTTTAATACAAGTTTAAATCCTGATTAACATGTTTTGTTGGTGTTTTTTTTTTTTGTTTTGTTGTAGAAAGTGGTGGTGAAGTTGGATTTGCATGATGATAAAGCAAAACAGAAGGCCATGAAATCAGTTTCTAGCCTTTCAGGTACTCACCTTACTCAATTTATATAATTAATTTGTCTGACAAAACCCGATATTATTAGATTGAAAGTTAACGTCATTATCAAGATTTCAATCATGAAATTCACGATTCATGTTTCTGAGTTTCTGATAATTATTACCACTTCGTCTACGGAACACTAAATTATTAGTGTCTTTTTAGTAAAAATTCTATTAAAAATTCTCAAAGATCATAATCATATGAATTTGTACAAAAATGGACGGCTAGCATATATTTATTTAATTATTTAGTCATGCTCTAAATTAAACCATAGAGTGATGTTATTTCAACATTAAAAAATATAACATTGTGTTATACACCAAATATAAAAAAACAAAACAATTTTCTTGTTCAAATAGATTTTTTTTTTTGTTAACTATATGTAAAGTGAATAATGAATGATAAAAGTGCAGGCATTGATTCTATCGCCATGGACATGAAAGAGAAGAAGCTGACAGTGGTTGGTGATATAGATCCTGTGGATGTTGTGAGCAAATTGAGAAAATGGCACACAGAGATTTTAACGGTCGGGCCGGCGAAAGAGCCGGAGAAGAAGAAAGATGATGGAAAAAAAGATGATAACAAGAAGAAAGATGATGATAAGAAGAAAGATCCAAATGAACAAATTGCTGAGCTTGTTAAGCAATATAGAGCATATAATCCTTACATGACTACATATTATCATGTTCAGAGTGTTGAAGAGAATCCAAATGCTTGTGTTATTTGTTGAATATTATAATGGTTTGAGAGAGACATGGAATTGAATTGGAAAAAGTCAGGAATGTTTGCTTGTAAATTATGAATTTGGTTGATATATTATTATTATTATTATTATTATTATTATTATTATTATTATTATTATTATTATTATTATTATTATTATTATTATTATAAGATTGAGACATCTTGAGGATTAATAGTGTATTAGGCTTATGAAGGTTTTGAATGAATAGTTTGATGTGTGAACAATGGAAGGTACCTCTATGACTTGTTCATTGTGCCATTTAAATTTGTGTTATCACACTTTTTTTTTTTTACAAGTTGTGTTATTATACTTGTCAACTATGTGATTTTGTAATGTTATTTCTAATGAGAAACTTAGCTATAGTACTTCTTAACTTAGCTATATTGCACTTTACGCATTCACCTGTGGTTGTCTTTTTTTTTTTTTTCACTAATGAAGAAACGATGATTATATTGTTGGGTTTAGACTCCCTTTCTATGTGGAGGAAGATTCAAATATGATTAATTCAATTATCTTATTTATTTAAGTAGAAATGGTTAATTTAAGATTGTGAGAGATAGAGAGAAATAGAAGATTTAAAAGAGAGAAAAAAGGAGACACCCCTATTCTTATTTTTACTTAAATTGATGATTTCATATTTGTTAACCGTCGGATCGAGTTTAAATTTGGAGGGCAAGTTTACAACACCTGTTTCTATCTTTTGATCATTCGAGTCTTCAAAACGAAGTCTGAGCTAAGAGATATCTGCTTCGCATTGAAGCCGCGGATTTGAGAAATTCTTCAACTTCTTGGTTCCTATTTGTAAGCTAGTTTGTTTTGTGATTTAGCGGTTGTTAGAATTAGTCTGTGAATCAATTTAAGACTCTCTTGTACTCTTATTTGATTATAGTTGAGCTATTTCTTTAGCCTGAACGACTCAGAGTTTTAACTCTCATACTGAGAGGTTTTCACGTTAAAATATCAGTATTTTCTCGTGCCTTTATCTGTTCAATTTGCTTCCATATATGTGTTGTTGATTCTCATAGGTTCTTACAAGTTTGGGTAATTTTATATCCGTTATGTATTGGTATGTTATTACGTGTTGATTTCCCATCAGAGTGGTATCAGAGTCTGGTTAAGGACTATTTTACTTGTTTGAATAATAAAGTCAAATACAAATATGAAGATGGTATTGTTGAATCATGTTAGACGACGACGCGTATCTAGAGGGGGGTGAATAGAGGCACAAAATAATTCTAGGCACAAATCTAGAATTTAAATTATTTTCAAAACTTTTTAATGCGGAAGAAAATCACTGGATAAGTCGTCTAAAATATAACTTATTGGAAACTCGGATATACAAATTGTTAACTAAATCTATGAAACAAAATTGAATAATTGATTAACACAACCTCAATTCAACAATCCAGTTATTTATTGTTTGAACACAATCACTTTGCAATGTTATTTCCTAGGCTAAATAATCAAAGAACTAACTTGATCGTTTTATCAAACACTTAGCGTGCAAGTGAATTTTCAGAATTTTTCCTTGAATGGCGTTGATATACAAAACCACTTATAATCAAAAGTGATTATAAGTTATATCCATAACTAATTCAAAAACAAAATTTGAGAGGAAAATTCTTACAATTCAATTACTAGTACAATGCTATTTGTTAAAAGGATTCATGAAATTGAAAACAAGTAAAAGTGAAAAAATAAAAACACACAAGGAATTTGTCTACACAGTTCCCCATCGTCGTCCTCGCGTGTGGGTACGTCTGTGTCTAATTCTAATAGAATTAAGATAATTCATATATGCAAAATTGTTTATTACAAAAGGAAGAGTAAGAACAACAATACAAAATTCTCCAATTTGGTTTGATGCTCCTTCTTTCAACCTTTGATCTTAGGCAAGATCAAATCAACCGATAGATGCAACTTATTCACTACTTAAGCTACTTCCTTGAAAAGATTTCAAACACTCCAAGGTTCCTTGCAAAAATTTCAAACACTCCAAGGGATATTTCACTCGAGTAAATCTGATTGCACACTATCAACACAAGATCACTGATTCTATCACCCAATTCTTGCTACTTCCTTAAAAAATTTCAAGCACTCTAAGGTTCCTTGTAAAAATTTCAAACACTCCAAGGGATTTTTCACATGGACGATTCCTTCTCACACAATCTTGCACGAAAACCTCCAATTCAACAAATGATTTTAGAGGAGAAACCCGATGGTTTTTCTCGGATGAAGACCCCTACAAATCTCAATCAAAATCAATTAGAAATCCACAATTCTTCATCTAGATGGCATCCCTAGGGAACATCATCACAATGTAATATTGGTGTGTATGCATAGATTGGAAGATTGAGGAAGAAGAAGAAATATAGGCTAATTTTATGGTATCATCAAGTTTGGAATGATGCATGAATGGGTATTTATAGTTTGGAAATGTTTAGGGAAAAAAGGAAAAATTCAGAATAAAAGAAATTGAAAAAATGACCAAAACAGATTTTATGCTTCGACCTTAAATTCGTATATGTCGATACATATATTATAAAAAGAATTCATATGTCGACCTAAAGGACTCTATGTGTCGAACTGAGCAAGTCATAAGCTACAGGCTTTAAAACGTGAGTAAATGTGTCGACCTGAAATATGGATATGTCGACACATAAAATAAGAATTTCTGCAATTTCAGAAAACTTTTTGTATATGTCGATCTGGAGGTTATATGTGTCGGTATGTTACTTATAAAAGCGTACAAGCTTAAAAACTGAGTTACATGTGTCGACCTAAAAATTGAATGTGTCGACACATGCAATACAAAAACATGAAGAAACTGTTTTTCAATGTGTTGGGTCAATTTCAAAGTACTTTTTGATGATTCCTAAGACCTATAATATAGAGGAGTTCCACAAGACATAGAGATACCATCCATTTTACCGACGTGCCATCTTTCCTGGTTCTGACATCATACAAAACACCTTGTATTAAAGTTGTACTCACAAAATCCCTTTTTTTATGATGGAAAAACTTTCGACGATGCATTTCTTATAATTTTCAAAGGCTCCCTCTGTCTTTGTGCTTCCTATCTTCATCTCGCATATACTTTCCCCCCTTTGAAACCATCAAAAAGAAGAAAGCAAACGATTAGAAGTACTAAAGTTTCCAAAGCAATTAACAAATACAAATCAGAGGTAAATTCTGCACATAAGAGCAACAAATACATATCCCCATATATATGCAATTATGCAAACTTTTAAGTAACAGGAAGCGGACATCACAACAGATGTAATGGAATGCAAAAGCAATGAAAGACAGTTGTAGCGACAACATATATCAATACTAACACCAAAATGAAGATTTCTATCATGCAAAGTAACTATGACAACATGAACCACACATTGCAACATAAGATAAGGGAAATAACCACAACACATGCTTGCGTATTAAGAATAAATCTATACAAATGTGAATGAATTAATACATAAAGTCATTGTAAACATATAGATCAAGAACACACAATGGTTATTAATCGGAAATTTTTGGAAATGAATATTCATGGTTTTCTTCATTTGAAAGTATATGAAACATTTTTGGAAGAAGCCTAGACGTATGCATTAAGGCAAAACTTACGTTTTAGGAGAAATTGAAACGAAATTACCTCACTGTAATACGGTGGGAAAATTGACTTTTGGTTTTTCATTTTATCGCAAATTTCGCGAATAGCAAGAGTTTCCACCGTCTTTTCTTTTATCCAATAAGGAAAGGGTAAAAAGAACAGGAAAGACCTTTTGAGAATTTTTTTGAGTAAGGGGGTAGGTTATGAAAAGGGAAGATGTTAGCACCCTTTTCATCCGTAGTTATCTACGGGCTCTTAATCGCTAGCTCACTTTTTAAAAATGCTTTGTGTTCGTGTGTTTTGAAAATATTTTGAAAAATGCCTAAGTGCGGCGATTTTGTAATGATTCTCGCATCGTTGAGAATGCATACAAAATATTTATTTTGAAAATATTTGTTGAAAAAAGGTGTCATTGTGTGAAAAATATTTTGAAATGTTCGCGAGCAAGAGATTAAGAACTATATACCTACTCAAAAGTCTTTTGTTCTTTTCCTCTTCCTTTAGATAGTGTTATCATACCATTAGTTAGTAGGAAGTCCTATCATTGGATGTTTGTAGGACATGTGTGGGTCATCGTACAGTCATAAAGGCAACATATAGGGATACCTTTAGCAATTCAAAGAGACTATCATCATGTATTCATAGGCAACATCGAGGTACAAGATCATTTTCTGAAGGCAGCATCGAAGGGTCATCGAGGGACTATGATCTTTATGATGATTTTCAACCGAGGATCTTTGCTAATGGTATCTCTACGCTCGAGGGACATGACTATTTTCTGAAGACAACAAGTGGAGTCACTCTAGAGGTGCGTGTGTGAAAAGTGATTTGTTTCAGATATATTATCTTGATTAGGGTTATCTAACGATTTATTTTAAATCTTGCCATACAAGCCTATTACTAACAGTTTAATATATACATACATTCATACATAAGTGCGGAAAGTACAAGTGCGAGAAAATAAACCTAGGCTACTACATCCCATGAGCAGTTACATAATGGAAAAAAATGTGAGAAAATAAACTAAACTATTACAAAATCAACTGTGTGACCTATACGTTTGTTTTCTAGAATTTAAATAGCAACGGAAAAATAAATGTTAGAAAAATGTTTTAATAAAACTAAGATTTTGAGTGTAGAAAAAAATATTTCTGATGTTTTGTTATTTGGAAAATAATTAGAGTGATAATAAAATAATTAAAACCTAATTATTTCTATTTTTTTCCTTTTTTAAGAAAATTAAGTTAATAGTAATAAAAAAACCTAATGTCTAATTATTTTTAAATACAAATTAATTAATAAAAAAACCTAAGTCTAAATATTTTTAAATAAAAATTAGTTTTTTTATAGTCTAATTAAAAAGGTAATTAAATTA